TCCCCCCTCCCCCTCCCCCCTGCCCAACATCCAATAGATGTTATTCTTATATGTGCATTTATGGCATTTCTTTTTGATGTGACCTCTCCTATGTGGGCATCGGCCCGATGAAAGATCGAAATGCAGCGTCGTACCCTCTCCTGCCTACAGCCCAGCACTAGCGGATCCCGGCGGGACCAGCTCCTCGGGACCCGGATGGGGCGCCCTCGCGGGCTACAAGGCCAGTCCTCCGGACCAACCAGGGAGGCTCCGTCCTCGGTGAGGCTGGGCAGGGCTGTGGGGGCCACTTTAGCTGAGTCTCTAAGGGACGCCAGGCCTAGGGCGGGAAGGGGACCCACTAGCCTGTGCCTCTCACATCGTCAGCCCATCGGAGGCGTCCTGGAGCCCCCTGCCTGCAGGTGACGAGCCACATTCGCCTGTAACCTGTGCAGTCTGGACTCTGAGGACCGCTGTTGCCACGCAGCTGCCCTGTCCCCCCACCCACTTCCCCGTCATCGTGAGCAGGTGTGGACAGGGCGTGCGACTTACATTCCAGTCTACGGTGACAAAGAAAGGGTGACGCTTAATCTCCTCCACTCCGTCAATGCCAGCACCTGTCGCAACAACAAAGCAGAGATTACACTTCAGAGCAAGTCCAGATCCCAGATCACGGTTATCTCTGATGGTTCCTCCACAGTGGTGTGTGGGGTGGGGCCGCCCTAGCCTCTCGCGCAGGGGGCACCGCTCAGCCCCAAGGGCTTGGGACAGGGAGGGGCCCGGTCCCACCCGGTAGGGGTGGGCAAGAGGTGGCAGAGAGAAGAGGGGGACAGGCTGGCCAGGCTGCCTGCTCCAGGTGTGAGGATGCCGGGACACCCCTGGGGAAGGCCCAGGGGTGTCAGCCGCAGGCAGGTCCTCCTGGGAGGCTGCCCTGCAGAAGAGCTGGAGGGAGGTGCCACAGCGGGGTGCCTCGTAAGGCTGCTGTGGGGTTCTGCCAGGGAAGGAAGAGGAATTCAGGCAGCACTGAGTCCTGGGGGGAAGCCAGGGCCTCTTGTCCACACCCAGCCACACTTGAGGCTGCTCAACACAGATGACTGTTTTTAACTGGAGACGTGTGGCAAATGGCACTGCTTTGCCTGTTATTTCTACCTAAGCTTCCCTTACTTTGTTGCTCACATTAAAACCCTAAGGCCCTGGGGACAGGGGAGGGACGAGCAGGCAGAGCACAGGGAGTCTTAGTGCTACGATTCTGTCCGATGCTGAGGCTGAGACGGGGAATGTGTCATCACACCCCTGCCAGAGTCGTCAGGGCGTCCACCGAGGGACCTGGTGTGACGACGGCTTTAGTCAGTAATGATGTGTCAACGCTGTTTCATTCACTGTGACAAACGTGCCACACTCACGCAGGATGTTACTACCGGAGGAAATTGTGGGGTTGGGGGTGCAGGGAAACCTGCTGCAGTCTGTTCAAGTTTTCTGTCAACTTAAAACTATTCTGAAAGTAGTCTACTAATTAAAAAACAAAAACATAAACAAAAACGAAAATGTAACCCTGAGACCCAGGACTGTTTTTCCCAGCACAGGACAGCCTGAGAGGGCCCAGCGCTCTCTGGTCGGGAGTTGGGAACAAGTAGCTGGGCAGGGATCTGGGCTAGGCTGCAGGAAGGCCGAGGGCAGTGGCCGGAGCCCCTGTCTGGGATGCGGCTCATCCCTGAGGCCCGGGCTCCCCTTGCTCTGTGTGTAGAGGTGCCTTCTGACGCCACCTCCCCGCTGCGGCTCTGCCCCAAGCCAGAACCTCTGTCCGCCGTCCAGTCCCAGCTCGAGGGAGGGCAGCTGTGCTGCAGGGGAAACCGAGAGCAGTGGGGCGTGACGGGCAGAGCAAGGTCGTCCTCAGATGCTGCAGTCGCCACAGCAGGGGGTGGGAGCTGCCTTGGCCTCAGGAAGGGTCGCTGGGTGGACACAGGCCCAGGGCCACCTTCCACCTCAGCCGGGCCACCGGCTTGGAAAGAACTGATTTGACCAAACTCACCGGTGGCAGTTTCAGTCACTATTAGAGTCGGTTGTTTGGGTAATTGCCATACTGTGACATGAAAATTCACCGGTGAAGGAATTAGGCGGAGTCTCAGGCTCGGGAATTTCTCCGTGTGAGGACTCGGGCAGACAGCACACGTGTGCCTCATCGCCCCACGCCCGAGTGGCGGCAGTCACTGTCCCACCTCACAGACCGGGACAGAGGCTGACGTCAGCTGGTAGCTTGCTCAAGGTCATACTGGAAGTTTGCGCCACAGAAACAGGCCGTGAGGCTGGTTCTGCCAGACTCCGCTGAAGCCGTCCTCAGCCCCCGTGCTGGGGTCCCTCTGGATTCCCGAGTCTGTCTCCCTTGTTTTCCTGTAAACCCTGAGGCCTCTGCACGCCCGCGCCTGGCGCGGTTGGTGACAGGTGCTCAGATGCTGCTGTGACGACACTTCGGAGCAGCGCTCCCGGCCCGTCCAGACGGAGCTCCTCTGTCACCACGATTAGATAAGAGGAAACTTGCCTCTGCTCTGCACCTCTCCCGGCTCTTCTGTTTGGCGACTGCTGGATGCACGGCCGGAAGCACCCTCAAGAGGTGGGTGACTTGAGGAGACGCTTCGGAGCCCTGGGCACACGCCCTGCATGGCCACTGGCTGGCTGTACTTCTTCTCATTTTGTACCGTTATATTTCACTCTCAAGCGCCGTTTGCAAATACGGTCTGCAGGAATTTAAAAGGTGGGGTGCAAAGGAAATACGGGCGTTGGTGTACCTGTAAAATCTTCCTTCGTATGTGCCAGGCTTTCTTGGGTCACTGAACGGACACATTTGATCTTTCCCTTCTTTCTTCTGTTGCAGCAAGATTTTGCACCGTGTTTGAGTTTTGAGGCCTCAGCAAACAAGGTCACGTGTGCACACTTTGGTTATTACTAAAAATTTATAGGTGTTTTAAAGGTGGAAAACACGAAACAGAAGGAAAACTTGTGGGCTCAGTTCTTTAAAGCCTGCATCAGCCTTCCCAGGGCAGATGGGTGCATTACTTTGGATTCCAGCCCTATTTATCCTCTCTTGAAAGGTGCTGGAATAGGCCACACTGTCCTTGGCCCTTCCTTTTTATCTAAACTCAACACATTTGACAAATAGTGCGCGGAGCTCCGGCTGGGAGGATGGGGAAGTGTGTGTTGGTATCTGAACCACCGTGGGCCTGCTATGGGATCTGGACCAAAACGCCGGGAGTCCGTTCTAGGAGGAGGCTGCGCTCCATCTGGACCACAGAGCACTGACGAGAACAGGTCCTGGACAGACACATCTAGGGCGGAAGACTAGAATTCTCTCCTGTTAGTGGGCGTGACGATTTGTCACTAAGTTCCCCAATGCCTTGCAGACGCGAACTAGAAGTTCCGTGGAACAGTAGATTCAGGCAGTCATGCTTGTTCCTGCAGTAACAACACCTAATCACGCTTGTCCTTATCACCTGTGGTCCACCTCCAAATGGGGATATCACTGAAAGTTTTCTGGATGCACGTCCCAAATTTCTACACTTTGGTTAAAGGTATAATTTTGTAACCAGTTAGAACTTTCAACGCACAGTTTTAAAATCCAGCGCAGGCCTGTGATGGGATGTATTCTCTCCCTGTACCGAATATACCCGGCTCTTCTACTTTACATTTTCAATGAAGAAATCCATCCATGCACTTCATCGTGGGCTTCTAAATTCTCAGTAAACCATTCCCAGAAGGTCTGCGTATCTGCCAAAAATATTTTCATCGTGTCTTTGTGTCCACAGATAGCCTTGGGACTCCTCTGAAATATTTAAAGTTTTGTTGTTGGGGGTGTTGCTTTAGAGTCACACAAAATCCGTCTCTAATTCTTCCGGGAACATTCAGACTAAGCTGAGCCGACTGCCACTGCAGGTGTCTCTAGCTGGTGCACCTTCAGCGCCCAGTGGCCGTCCCCGGCAACTTCCATCACTGGTTTAAATACTAGGTCTGCTTTTCCATTCCGTCATCGCTTACAGGTTATCTGCACATTACTTTTTTAGTTTTAAAGTTTTTTTTGCCAATTTGAAACTTTGTTCGTTTAAAGTTTAAAACCTTTGCTTGCCAGTCGTCTGTGTCGCTTGGAACACTGCGGGTTGGGAGTTGGGGGCAGGCCGGGCCCAGGTGCGTGCAGCACGGCGGCCAGCTCCCCAGACAGGCCCCGGCCCACTTGTGCCTCTTGTGGTTTCAGGGTTGCTGCGAGGCTGGGACCGTTTGCTCGGCCTGGAGCAGGCTGCCCAGGCTTGGCTCGTGACAGGAGGGGCTGGCAATGCCACTGCAAACTGGGATGAGACTTGGAGAGCAGGATGGACCGTGTTTGAAGTCATTAAAGTGCACCTTTTGGAGACCAACCCTGGACAGGAAAGCAGAAGCAGAGACACAGAGAACCCTGCCAGCACGTGAGCCGTAGGCAGCAGGTGTTCTCCGAACATAGCAGGACGGGCTTAGTTGATGGGCGTTTATTTGCTGTGCTATTTTTGTGCTCATCAGCACATCGAATTCCTGTCTAACCTTTGCCTCTCGTTCTCCGGGAGTCCTAGAATATCCCAGCAGTTTCTAGGAGCAGCTATAGATGCTCGCTAGGGATGGGCTGAAGGGCTGTCAGCCTTAGGGGGAGCAAAACCACCGGGAAGCAGGCTCAGTGCACTTTACACCCATCGTAACTCTTCCTGTCTTTTGGGAGAGTCGGGAAGGAATAAACTCCTCTTGCACAGCAAGATGCTTTTACAACCGTTCCTAGAAATTACTACAGTATAAACTTCTATCAGAAGAGGCGCTTACTCGAGTCACGATGATCCCACAGGGCCCAGCCCTGTGACGCCCGCTGGCAAGAAGCACCCCTCCTCCCGGGGGCGTTCATCACCTCTCCGCCCCCAGAGCTGAGCCCAGTGGGGACGTGCCCAGAACTTGCCTCTGGCACGGCCTCCCTCACATTTACACGTGCACTGTGGGGGCTGCCGGGCCCCTTTCTCATCATCTCACCTTTTTCTTAGTCAATTCTTTGAAATTCCCGGATCTGCAAACCCTTCAGAGCCACAGAGCATTCCACCTGGGAGGGAGCTTGCCCTGCACACATAAGACACGGAAGGCGAGGCCGTCCAGGCCTCCATCCCGGAGTGTGCCCACCTGCCCCGTGGGTCTTTCCCTAACTCGTGACCACGCGGCCACCAGGACAACTGTTCAGAGAATCGAGACAGAGGTGTCCCCCTTGGCTGCATCCTCCAGGGGACGCTGCCCACGCACGGCTGTGTCGCACTCCCGGGCTTGGCCCTCTGGTCCCTCTGCCTCCCCTCCAGCCTTTGCCACCGTTTGGGCGCGAGGAAACCACAGAAGCCACACGCACCCTCAGACGCACCACTCTCCTAGCTGCCACGACTTTGCACGTGAGTTTCCCGGGCCTGGCACACGCCCCGCCCACCCCAGCACACTGCACAGCCTCTGGCGCCCAACCCGGAATCTCCGCGGAGCAGCTCCATCACCCCGCTGGTGACAACGGAGGCTGTTTGGGGTCACCCGTGTATCCTGCACACGCTTCTCTTAGGGAGCACATCGCGCTGTCAGATAAACAACGTGCAACGCAAATAGCTCGGACTCTTCCGGCTGCCCTGCCTGCCCGCGGCGCCACAGCACAGAAAACAAATTTGACTCCCAGACTCTTAACGTCTGGCAAGTGTAAAATTTCACCAGCAGACTCAGAAAAACTAGCTGCTTCTGTCCCTCTTTCTGTCCACGTCCCCGATGTCTCCCAGGGAGGCCACTGCCCAGGTGTCTCTCTGCCTGGGTCCTCCCCCGAGAAAGCCCTGCCTGGGTCCCACCGCCCCGACCTCTGGCCTGTGCGTTTCTTCCCGATGCAGTGTCAGACTCTCGCCTCAGTGACCAGGGCTGCTCTCCTGGGAGGACCTTCGCCTTCCTGCCTTCCTCTGTGGCTGCCTGCTGAGTCCCCCCAGGGAAGGGATCTCTGGACGGGTGCACAGTCCCTGTCCTTAGGGCACAGCTTCCTGGACCCTCTTCTGGGGCAGCCCTGTAAAGCGCAGGCAGTGTCTGTGCTCACTAGTTTCAATCAAACTCACTGGACGACAGTATGTCACAGACACCAAGCCAGGGCCCGTGCCGGGTGGCATCAGGGGCTGGGCCGTGCCGTGTTTGCACACGCCCTTGCACGGGGCACGGTGGCCTGGGCAGGCGCAGGCCTGCAGCAGGACAGGGTCAGGCTCTCCAAACACTCATCTCCGCAGCTCCGACGCTGAGATGCTGCCGAACAGCCCCGCTCCCAGAACTTCTATGCTGGTACGCGTACTTCTGTTGGGTAGATTTCTGGAAGTGGAACTTCTGGGTAAAAGGGTGTATGTATTTAAAACGTTGATGGCGTTGCCACAGTGCCAGAGTGTTGCAGGGGTTTTCCCTCCACCCACACCCACGCGCCCCTGGGCTCTCCGAATTCCCCAGCATCCGCAACACCGTGGGTGCGAATCGGCACCTCGCCTGCCTCCCTGTTCCGCTGCTGTCCCTGCGGCTCCTGTGTGGGGCCCAGGCCAGAGGCTCCTCCCACCACGGGAGCTCACTGAGCCACCAGCCTCCCTCGGACCCCTCAGCCCTGCAGCAGGGCCTGGGGGCAAAGGTGAAGGCTTTGCTAGGTTGTGGGAGGGATGAAGCGGGTCTGGGGAGGAAGACAACCGACCGCAGGAGATGGCCACTGAGACGTCTGTAGGGGATTTTAAATATCCGATTACACGTAGAGTTGCCACCCAAAGGCAATTCTACATGGAAATCTTTTTATAAAGTAAAGAATCATTTTGAAATGAATCAGTGGGAAGGAATAGTTGCATAAATGATAAAACCTGGATTAGAAGTTGAATGTAAATGTGTCTAATTGGCCGAATACAATAATAATAATTCATAACAACATGAATTTCATGTGAATTCCTCAATATTTTAAATGCGTCAATATTGATTTTTTACAATCACCTTAACTTCCCTTTTCCTAAGATCACTAAGTAGCTGCACAGAAATTACCTCGTACATTCTCAAAATATTCCTGTGGAGTAGGACGGTACTTTTGATTCTAGCTTCATTTTTAATAACCGAAGGATCACAAATTAACGCAAAGTTCCCCGAAATGAAAGCTGATGCAGGAAAGCCACTAAAAGGGGCTGATCTTCCTGCAGGGTGAGGTGTGCAGACAGGAGAGTCTCAGTTTCTTTCCTGAATGAAATATTTCCTGATTTAACATTCGCTTTCCCTTCCTTAATCATTCGCCTTCTGTCTCTGAGGTTAGAGTTAAAAAAACAGTAATTACAGACCAGATCTTTGATGTTTCAGCGCCAGTCCCTAAGACCTCCCAGACCAACTCCAAGACTCCTCCATACCTTGTCACACACACAAAGGAAACGAACAAGTGCTTGGTTAATCAGCACTGACAGACAGGGACCTGCGTGTCGGAAATCACGACAAGCCCTCGCGTGCTTGGAGCTTGGATGGTGTGCAACAGTATTAATATTCTGACCTCCACTTAAGGCTGTTTTCAGACCTCGGTAAATGTGCAGCCCGGTGAGAGCTGCCTGGAGCAGGAGGTGGCCCCTGCTTCCATGTCCCCGCGGGGGAAGGGGCGTCACGGGACGCTTACCCAGCCGGTTGCAGGGGTTCCTCTTGAAGAGGGCTCGCAGCAGACCCTGCGCCTCCATGCTGAGGAACTGAGGCATCCCCAGCTTGGCTCTGAAAAACAGAACCACAGTTTAGGCTCATGCTTTAGGAACACCGTCAACATACACAGCATTGTTAATGGAAATTATCTATGTTTTCCAAAACCTAATAAAAAGCCCTTAGTGGCATTGTTTTGCGTTCCGGCAGGTCTCTACCTGGCTCCATAAGAGACAGCGGGACTCTCTCGCCGGCCTCTGCCTTCAGCCTGGCACGGCTCTGTGAGGGCAACCTGGGAAGGGACAGTCTAAGGGCGCCCACGGTCCTCGGACCACACCGAGAAGCCGAGGCACAGAGCTTGGCTCTGTCCCTTCAGAAGCTCGCTGTCCCTCCCAAGTGGCAGGCCCGAAGGCCACACCTGTGACTTGCTGAAGGGATTATTCTAACTTTAGAAAAAGTTAAGACCTCGTTCTCCCTTAAAATTCAAACAGACAGAGGTCATCACCACAGAGACCGTGGGCTGCAGCCACAGGTGTCTGCAATTGGAGGTCACCTGATAGAGGGAAAGGCTGATTAAATGGAAGGACAACAGCCCAGCTTTGCAACAGGGTCCTCACTATGGGGTTTCCTTTGCGCATCTCTCTTCTCCCATTTATATGATGACCTATTAAATACAAAACGCAACTTGCGGTGTTTTACGTGCGTCTCCATTTTATGAAAGGTACATGTCCACTTGCAGATGGTTTGCAGAGCTGGTCACAAGGGCAAACATCTTCATGACTTTTCCCTCCAGTGGCTGTAATTCCGGTCGCTTGCTTAACAGGGGAGGGACTGATTTGGGGTCCCCGGCCCCCGGGTCCTGTCCTCCCTCCTTGCCTGTCTCGGGCAGCCGTGCTCAGCCGCTCCAGCTCATGTTTAGGATGCCACGTGAGAGGGCACTGGGCCAGACTTCCTTCTACGGTTCTGAGAGCAAATCCATTTGCTTGGCAAATGACTCTTCATGAGGATTAAGCAGAAACATGGTTTTTGCTCAGTCACTTGGGCAAAATGACGCTATTTCCTGCCAACATCAGCCAGAAGGGGTCAGACATTACAGGGATGGGGCTGACAGGCAGAGAAGGAGGGGACCTGCTCCTGCGTTCTCTCTGCAGAGGGTCCCTGAGTCTTGGTGCTTCCGGAAGGCCGCCCACCATCATGTCTGAGAACCCAGACACTGGGCACCCTGGATGACTTTTACTGATGGAAACTCTATCTGCGGTGGAAGTGGGGGATGGACTACACCGCTCACCCCACCTGCCGCCCCCACTGCTGCCGCCCACTGCACAGCCCAGACTCGGGGCGTCTCCCCACTACTCACTTGAGGATGAGGGCCATGGTCTCCTTCCGGTCCTTCCCCTGGAACGGCAGGGACCCCGTGAGCATCTCGAACTGCAGAGCAACAAGAGCAGGGGGGTTCCTTTGTTCAGACGGCCCTGACTTAGCAGCAGAGCACCCCGAGGGGCCACACACAACCCAAGTGCGTCCTTTACTCAAATCCTCCGTCGGGTAAGTGCAGGCTGGCCTGCGTGCTTGGGGCACGTCGGCGATAAAGCCGCCTCGCGGGGCTTACGTTTCAGTGGGCGGGACCAGTGAGCGATGAACAAGGTCAACATTAAACTACGAGGAGGTGGGAAGGTGCTAAGGTGATGGAGAAAAGAAAGAGAGTGGGGTGCTGGGTCTGGGGACAGAATGCACCTTACGTGTGGTTTAGGGCCCCGTCCTGCCCTGGAGGCTGCTGTGGAGGGGATGGGCCAGGAGGAGGAGGAAGAGGAGGACAGCATGTTCCTATTGGATACTCATGTGCCAGGCCAGGGAGGGCAGAGCTCCCGGTGTGAGATGCACCACGGAACAGCCCACGCCCGACACCTGCTAGGGACAGCGTGGCAGCAGTCTCGCAGATACGGGCTGCCGCCCGCCCCCACTGCTATGGCATCGTTAGTGCATGTTTGCTAGGATGGAGCTGGCGGCAGAGGACCGAGGCAGGCGGCCTTTTCTGGGCAGGGATTTCATTCTTGCACCGACTCTCCTGGGCACAGGCAGTGCTGATCACGTGGACTCTGGAAGCAGGTGCCGGAATCTCGTGCCCTTATCAGAGCAAGTGCACATCTGACCACTTCTCGCGACAGAAACCAGGGCAGCAGCAACGACACATCTTTTTCATGAAAATAAGATCCTGAATCTAACAGAAATGTGCTGAAGCCTCAGTCCCACCCCATGTCTTTAAGGTCAGCTCAAGTCGTGAGAAAGCGGCCTCAGCACAGGTGATCACAGCGTCACTCATTTGCCCTCGCTGGTTTTTCCCGCCCGTGCTCTGCTCCATCAGATTGACCCCCGGCACTTCCCTGCGCGTTGCGAAAGCCTCGGGAAACACACAAAAGTAGAAAGAACAAAATAATCACACATAATCCCGTTGTCCAAAAATATCCACAACTAACATTTGTCTGCTCCTTCTAGCACTTTGTTCAAGCTGCTTTGTTTTGTTTTAAAACACAGATAAGGCTTTGCATACTAGTTTCTTACAGAGAATATAAAACTTTCAATGCTTATTATAAAATCTTTATCATATCACTTTATATGTAGCTATGCCAGAACATAATAGTGTGTCTGTTATCGTACCCTTGAGAGGGTTTCCCTTTTTTTGCTATTAAAAGTAACACTGAAATGTACATAAAAGTTTGCCTAATATTTGGAGTTACCCTAAGTCTTTATTAATATCACTAGTCTGCTTTCTGAAAACAAAGTTTTAGAAGAAATTAAAATGTTTCTGCCAGTTTGATGTTTGAAGCCTGCTCCATCGCACTGAAATTTCTGCCCACCCTGCGCCCTGAGTGCGGCGCACAGCGCAGGCCGCTGCAGGTGACGACGGATAACCGCGTAAGCAACAGAAAGCTGGAGGAAGAGAGTCCAGATGAGAATTTAAAGAGAGACAAACATAATTAGGCTCGAATGCTCTGACTAGCTCGAAAGGCTCGAATGCTCTGACTAGCAGATGAGCTATTCATCTGATAAAACAGGATGAACATTTATAAGCTGATTATACAAATTAAAATATCTCGTAAAATGAATCGTATTAGCAAAGGGAGCTCTTTTTCTATTTGGTTCTTTCCTTCTTTCTTGAGTCGACTATTAATAGCATCACGCAACCCCATTCCCAAGGAGAAGCCCCCGGCGTGTGAACTGAGGAGGCCGTCACGGAGGCTCAGCACCGGGTCCCGTGCACCAGCGCCCGCCCCACGCCTGCGTATCCCCTGCTTACGACCGGCCGACCAGCACTTGGCCGGCGTCTGTTTAGTGATGTCCGTTAGCTTTTGACCAAGGACCAGCGTCCGTGTGCTCTGTGCTTTCTCCCCTTCCCCTTCCTCCTCTGTCCGCGTGGGTCTCTCCCCAACCACCGGACACGGGGGAGCCCCCAACCATCCATTGACCCAGAGAGCACCCAACACTGCGTGCACACGGGTGTTCCCGCTTCTTGACGAGGGAGGTGATGATGATGGTGGTGGTGCTTGGGGGAGGGTGCCGCACTCACAAGTCGGCACCAAAGCCAGGCTGCAGAAAGGCACGAGGGAGGGTGACGAGACGCAGCCGTAGTGTCACTGTGGGTAGCTATGATGCTTCTAGGAAGACAATTCAACATATCTAAAGCAGCAGTTCTCAACTGGGGGACAATTTTGCTCCCCAGGGGACATTTCCCAATGAAGGGAGACATTTTTGATTGTCGTCTGTCATGACTGGGGGCGCTGGTGCTCCTAGCATCTACTGGGGGGGATGGACGCTGCTAAACATTTTGCAATGCACAGGACACCCCCTGAAGAACAGCCCTCTGGCCCCAAACTTCAGCAGCGCTGGGGCTGATCTAAGGGACCTAGGAGAGGCCGCCCTGGGGCACAGGCGGGGCACCTCTCAGGCTGCCCGCGGTGCTGGGGGCAGTGGGATAAGGAGATTCTCTGGAGAAAGACACGGTAACAGGGAGCCCAGATTTCAAATTCCTTTGGCTAATCAACATTCTCAAAAAGAAATCAAAAGCTAGTGAATATTTTAATCTGAAAACAGGCAAGAACAAACCCTACCACGCAGGGGATTGCTTGAGGTGGTGGCAGACCGCCCGCGGGTGGGGCGGGGCTGGGTGTCCAGCACGCATGTGGATGCGTGTGGATGTCTCTGCGTGCACACACACACGCTCTCTAACGGGAGCTGCCCCTTGCCCTGTGCCTGCTGTGAACTAAAATAAAATCTTAAGGCTCCCCCCACCGCCTGACTGAATAGACCCCCTTCTAGCCAAGGGGGTATCCTAAAACTAAATTGCCTGCCAGGAGGAAGGAGGTCAGACAAGCCTCATCATGTCCCCTCCCTTCTTGGGGATATCCTTGGTAACCCATTAACAGGCCTAAGGGTATGCAAGACACACCTGCAGGTCCTCAATTTACACAACAAATCTATGTCTGGTGGCTTGTCTCTGATAAACAGCTCCTTATGTTGAAACATTCCAAGCCTTTAGACAAAGCTTCCTGTCTTCAATCGATTACAAGTCAAAGAATCTTTAAACCCACCAATAACCTGTAATCCCCCCCACTTCGAGATGGCCCACCTTTTCAGGCCAAACCAATGTATGCCTCCCACGTATTGATTCATGACTTTACCTGTAACCCCTGTCTCCGTGAAATGCATAAAACCAAACTGTAACCCAGCCACACCGAGTCCACTTGCTCAAGGCTTCTTAGGCGTGGCTCCAGGTCATGATTCTCAAATTTGGCTCAGAGTAAATCTCTTTACAACTATTTTACAGAGTTTGGCTTCTTTTCCATTGACACTGCCCTGTGCCATGCACTGTGTTAACACATCTAAGCCTCGAAACAGCCTGGGGTGGGACAGGCACTGCTCTTCACAGCCTCCTAGGGAGGCCCGGCCCCCAGGGGAGGGGCTGAGCTCTGACGGTCAGTAGAGCTGGGTGACAGGGGCGCTTCACAGTGGGTGCAACATCCAGAACACCCAGTGCCAGGGGTTAAGAAACAAGAGAAGATGCTTTAAATGTCTGAAAAACTCAACGCAGACATCCTTGTAAACCGACCGCGGCGGCGTGCGGGTCGCTGGTAATTCACCGTCACTGCAGAGCCGACCAGAGGTCTCCTTTTCCAGTTCCAGGTTCCTAACTTCAGACATTCGACCTTCTTCAAGGGCGGTGATTCCTCGCCACTGTCACAGGCATTTTTATTTCTTTGCGGTCTGCGGAGGCGCTTTCGGATTGCCAGACCTAGGACGCTCCTCCGTGAAGGGATCCAAGCTCGCGTCCATCGCAGGGGACGGACGCCGTCAACACCCCTCCCCCAGGTGCTGTTTCCAGGGCTCAACTTCGTTAACAAAGCCAGTGAGGGCACCTCACAAATGCACGAGCTCCACACTGATCCCACAAAGGCGCAGGAATGATGCCTCAAAGTGTCACGAGACCCAGTTCCTGACTGCAAATGAGAATTCAGAAATAACTTTCGATGTTGCCCACAGAAGTGCAAAAAGCACGAGGTCACAATCATCGGGACACCTGCCTGGGAGCCGGGGCTCCCATGGGGGCCAGGAGAGTCTGATGAGCAGGACTGAGAATGTGTTTCTAGAACAATTACAGGATCTCAAACCTGCCCCTTAGGTGCTGGGAGCCAGAGCTTTCATTTCTGTGCACAGGAAAATACCGTCCTTCCCGCCTAACTTGCATGTCTCCCGGTTCACATCAGACGTGAGCATGCCCTGTGAACTCTGGCGTGCCGTGCGCATGTAATCTGACCATGGTGGCAGTCACCCCTGCTTCATGCTGAGGGTGACACAGCAGCTCTGGAACCCGCAGACCACGTCCCAGCTCTTCCCAGCCGTCCTGAGACTCTGAAAGGACTGGGCAGCTCCAGCGAACAAGTGAGCGATTCAGTGAGAAACGTCCTGTGGCCAGTGACACGTGTGGGCAGGCAACACGGGGTCAATGACCGTGTCCAGAGCCACAGCAGGGCCACCCTCTCAAGGTCACAATCTGGGGACCAGGAGGGTGGGACCCAGGGCGGTGGAGGCCGGCAGGGCGCTGGGTCTGAGTAGGGCACCTGTCCGTGCTCACGCCAGGGTCTCCACGCCCACGTTGGTCCCTCAGGGCACAGACCTGGCTGGGCACAAGCTGCTTTCCGTGCTGGGGGCTCTGGGTGAGGGTGACGTGGCGCTTCAGGGACCCTGTGTGCCAGGAGACACTGGCAGAGACAGACACTTACAATAAAAGACGATCGATGTCAGAACAGCACCAAGAGTGCCAAGGTAGACGCCAAAGACAGAGCCCCGACTGTGCCCGGGAGAATCAGGAAGGGCCTCCAGAAGTGACACTTCTCTCTTCGTGCCGGGGCAAGTGGAAGAGGGAGCCTGCGAGCAGCTGGGTGGGGGGGACCAGCTGAGGACAGGCCTCCCCCTTTCCCTCCTGCCTCTCCTCTCTCCATCGTGGGATTTCCCAATCTTTCCCTTTGTACGTCTTTGCGAGTCTCCTTTTTCCTTTCAGTTTCTCCTTCTATTTCTTTAATTTTCAATGACTTGGACCAGAGAAATTTTAAAGGTATGTTTTATAGTATGGAATAGATTTTATGGCCACAGGACATCCCGCCTAGTGTCTGTGCAAACATGATATAAAGACATTCATGTTCCTAGGTGCAGATGTAGAAACGTTCAACCTCGTCTATATTTTGGTTCATGCTAATTTTCACAACTAAGTGCAAGGATTTTGTGTTTGAAATTTAAAAAATATTTTTAATATGAAAATCACTGCATCCCTTAAAACCCTCACGCTAAACTTATGTAGCGTTAAGTGTACGGAGGATTTGACTCTTAATGTACGTGCACTTCCCAACGGTGGGATTTCGGAGGGACAGAGCGATGGGGACGCTTGGCCGGAACTCCCCGCCTCCCGCCCCACGTCGCGCTCAGGGGCTGGTTTGCACGTTTCATGCTCCGCTTCCTCCTCTCATCTGTGACCTCTGAGCCGACCTGGGCACAGGGGCCACTCGGGGGACAGCTACCCCATTGCACTGGCGCCACCAGAATGACGGGCCTTACCATGAGCACGCCGAAGGACCACCAGTCGGCGCTCTGCGTGTGCCCCCGCCGGTTCACCACCTCCGGCGCCATGTACTCGATGGTCCCGCAGAAGGAATAAGCCCTCTTGTCGTGGTCGATGGCCTCCTTGCTCAGCCCGAAATCTAAACGCAAACACAGCGCAGGCAGCTCCTCAGTGTCTGCTGTTCAGGACGTCCCATGAGGGCTCCTGCACGGTGGGCGTCAGGCCATTGACGTCCCTGTCCAGGGCGGGCCGCAGAACCCCCTCGGGTGTAAACATGACCTGCCCAAATGCCGCCCGAAGCCCAGCAAGTCAGACTCCACGGTATGAGGGAGTCCTGTGAGTCTGCGAATTCGGGAGTGCCCTGTAACAACATCAAGGAACCGTGTTCTTGGTAACCGCCGTGCACCAGGCGGAGGTGCGCCGACAGCCCTGGGGCAGGCGCCAAGCGGGGACAGAGCGCAGTGACCCTGCCCTGGCAACGCCAGCGTGGAGAGGCGGCGGAGCTAGCACTGGAGGAGGGACCAGGGTTCACCAGGTGCCCCAGAGCCAGGAAGGGCTTCTCAGCGAAGCAGCTCCAGAGCCGGAACAGCGAGAGCTCAGAACCCGAGGGTGGTGGACGGTGGCGTGTGGCTGAGTGTGGAGCTGGGCAGGCCCAGGGCAGCGCGTAGAACAGTGGTGCCCAGAGACGTGCACGTCCTAACCCCAGACCTGTGACTGCGCCACCTCACAGAGCACAAGGGACTTTCCATGTGATTAAGCCGGGACCTTAGCACAGGAGACTCTGCTGGATTTCCGGGTGGGCCTGACCTCATCACAAGGGTCTTTAGGGGGGTTGAGGGGTGGCCGAGGGGGATCTGGAGATGCTGGCTGCTGGCTCCAGCCAGGCCGCAGGGGCCCAGGCCCGGGCATGCGGCCACTTCTAAAAGCTGAAAAAGCCAGGACAGGGGCCCTTCTGGAGGCTCCAGAAGGGAACTAAGCCCTGATGACAGTTTGGCTTTAGCTGTGACAGTGACTTTGGATTTGTGGCCTCCAGAGCTACAAGATGATAAATTTGTGTTGTTTTAAGCCACTAAGTGTCTGGTATTTTGCCACAGAAGCAACAGAGCACTGGTACAGTGGGGTGTCATGCGGTCAGAGTGGGGTGTTTTCAATTTGATTGGACTTGAGCTGCAAACGGGGGCCGTCGGGCAGCTACCACACTGTCCAGGAAACGCCCAAGACTGAGGGAGACAGCAGTGTGGGACGCGCTCGCTGCAAGCGAGAGCCTGGATGTCCGCCCCGCGGTCAGCCTGGGCATCGAGGTCTGAACTAAACACTCAGTGGAGCCCAGACAGAGCGTGGTGGGCGGAGGGGACAGAGCACCGCCTGGGGAGCGCCCGCGGTTCTGGGTGTCCCAGCACACAGAATACAACCTGTCCCTAGCTACGGAAAGGTCAGCCGACCGGGACGAGCGCCTGGCAAAGGTGGGTGTGCTGAGCAGGCTTTGGCTGGGGGTGGCCCCAGATTCCTCAGGGCCGAGAGGAAGTCCCGGGGGAGACGGCGTCTTTCACAAACCTGTGATCTTGATATGTCCCTCTTCGTCCAGGAGGATGCTGAAAGACAGGGAAGGAAAAGACGCTTCAGGAAGAGACCCAGCCGTGGACTGGCGCGCCCAGCTCAGAGGGCGGCTCCGGGCAGAGCCTGGCCCTGGACCACCTGCTGTCTGTGGGGGGCCCTTGGGGTGCTGCCCCCACACTCCACGGCCTCCCCAGGTCAAGGGGTGCAGGTCCACGTGTCTGGGAGGCAAGGGACACCTGCATGCTCCTGTGCCCGGGTGACCGCCAGCTTTGACCTTCCTGAGTCCCTAGGGAGGGTCTGAGAACCCTCCAGACTGTTCTGAGAGACGCGCAGGACGGAGTAGGTCCTGGTTGCCCCGGCCTGCGGAGACCCGGAGCCTCTCGGAAGGAATGTTCTGCACCCAGGAAGCGTTCAATGCGCACAGACCCCCTTTCTCTCCCCACATCCCCTCCCTGAGCCCCGCCCTGCTCTCGGGACCAACCCGGCCTCCGGGGCAGCCTGGGCACCAGCCTGGGCCTCAGCATCAAGGAGCTCTTGGGGTCCAGCGGGATCATCCTGTGGTGAGTCCTGGTCCCAGGTGGGCACCCGAGGCTCCCAGGTCTGTCCCGTTCCCTGTGTCTGCAGGAGATCTGGCTTTGCTGGTCCCGGCTGCCCTCCACAGAGAGTGGGGGCCTGGGAGGGGCTGGGCGCAGCGTAGCCCCCTCCTCTGTGAACTTTGGGCTGGAGTCTGGGCTGCAACACCTGGGACCCCCATGACCCCAAAGCTTCCTGCATCTTTTTGTCTGTCATTACATCCTAGTCCACCACATCCCAGAGCCCTAAAGAGACCAGGCTGGACAGAGACAAAAGCAAGGCTTGGAGGATTCGTACGTGACACCTTTGAAAAAAATCTGAAAAAGGAAGGAAAGGCTGACACACAGGACAGCATGGGGAACCTGGAGGACATAATGCTCGGCGAAGTTAGCCTGTCACCAAGGACAGATACTCCACAATTCCGTGTGTGCGGGATCCCTAGAGGGGCCCAATGCACGGAGACAGAGAGCAGGATGGCAGGTGCCAGGGGCTGGGGCATCGGGAGGGGTTAGTGTTCAGTGTGGACAGAGCGTCAGTTCTGCAAGATGAAAAAGTTTTGGAGATGGATGGTGGTGACGGCTGCACTTAATTCCACTTAAACACGGTTAAAATGGTAAGTTTTATGTTCTGTGTATTTTACAATTTTTAAAAATCTGCCATGGACTAAAAAAACCCTACTATTTTATGGAAATGGGAAAGAATAGGTTATAGCATGTAATTAAGACAATTTATAATTAAAGAGCCAAATGTGTTTAATCTTCGCCTTTCTTATACTGTCTTTGCCTGGAGTTGGTATCA